CATTTCCAACTCTAAAGATGATAGACTTCTCATTCATGTCTCGTCGTAAATGAATAGATCAATCGTGGGGCCTGCATATACTTTAATATATACATTGCGTGTAACAAGTCTATCTGTAAAAAATTTTTTACGACGAACGAATCGAATTCCATTGATTAGAAAAATAAGAGAGGTGTGTGAAAGTAACACTACATACAGTTTAAAAATCAACCACGATAAACATCAAAAGAGGATTAATTAGATTCCTAATATTATCGAATTGAACGTTAAAATTAATTCATTACCTTTATCATGTGGTTTGAATGCTGAAAAAAAGAGGTTCAAATTTGAAATAGCAAAAAGTAAAATAATTCCCAAAGATTATTCTTAAATGAGATGATTTTCTTACATTGGATCATTTTGTTGCGATTTGTCCCCTTTCTCAACATTCGCACCATTTATTCTTTTGTTCAACGTCCAAATTAGTTAATTGCTTAAAATAAAAATAGGCTTTTTTTTTTTATTGATGTTTCAATTGATGATCTCTTGGCAGTTCTTGGCATTATTTGTCAATTATATGAAGCAAATCAGTATAAGATCCCTTCTTAATATATACAATTTTCCGTAATCTTTTTTTTTTTTTAATTTTATTTACAATATTGAAACGTACGTGATCTCAAGTTTGTATGCAAATAATTATGTGCATGCATTACGACATGTCGATTTCTATGTTGTATGCCATTTATACTCTCGTACAGAACGAAAATAAAGTTTTTTTTTCCTTCCAAATTTGGTAAAATTCATTAACCGACGAATATGAAATTGTGAACACCAATCCAATCATATGAACGCACAATTTCTTTAATGTTTCAGCGAGAACAATTAAACGAACGCAATTTACACAAAATGCACCGTGGGATCTTCTTGCTTGGATAAATAAAGGTACACGCGGAAATGCGATGCAACTTGTGAAGTTAATGAACGCATCATCACACAATTCGATGTTTAGGTTACAAGGTTAATTTAACTTGTTCAATGATTCAATTTGTCAACCAGGGATCGTTATTTCATTTAACAAGCACAAAAATAACTTGTTAAACAAATATTCCATTCCGTAACCTATGCCGATTGGTTCGGCGAGAAATCTTTTTTAAAACGTGAATATCATATGGTATTTTAACGTCGTGGACTTGTTTATAGGGATGAAGATCGTTGGGGAAACGAACCATGGTGAAACGAACCAGTGAAACGTATCTGGATGGTCCGAGCAAAGATATATTGCATCAACAATCACATAAACTGTAGTTTTTTCCGAAATTCCGAAATTCCAAAATTAGGGAGATTAAACAGTTTCGAAAAAAAAAAAAGATTATAAAATCCATTTTTAGATTTTAAAAAAATTTGATCCTAACCACATTTGTATAAATAGACTGGGGAATGATGATCCGAGACTCGATAATATTTGGGTTCTCGGAAGGTCATCTCCCTTCAATAAAAGGAGGTTTGGAAATGACGTTGACTTTTATAATTGGGGTACCCCGTACCTCAAAAATATCTTTCTCCCGATGAAAAACGTGAAAAAAAAAAAAATTTTCTCTTACCCGACCGATACCTCCGTAAAATCTAGGCCGAATCAAGCTTTTTTATAATTCCAGCCAGCCGTATTTAGTAATTATCCATTGCCGACGAAAATTTGAAATTTTCAAGAATCACACAAAGTTAAACCCACAGAAATGTTTGTTTACAAAGTACCTTGGCGTGATTACCTATCTTATTCTTTTTAAAGAATATGAACTCTGAGTTTACTCCGCGTCAATTAAAAAAAAAATGCATATGTGAAATTCGACGTTTTTGCGCGCTATATAATTTACTTATTTAGATTGATCAATAAGTTGTTTTGTTTTAGATTCGATTATTCGATAAATAAAATCTTATTTATGAATACCTTTTTAATTTGACCTTATCTACTTTCGAGTTCATTCATTTTCAGTTTATTTTGTTAATGAATTACGTGTTTACGGATTTTCGTGTGACAAATATGATAAATGATGTGAATTTTTTTGGGGGGTGGAGTAAAATCGGATTAAAAAAAAATTTCCTTAATCTTTTATTTAACGTTTTTAATTTTATGCAGTTTCACAATGTTTCAAATGTTAGAGAGAAAAAAAAAATATTCAACAATTCTCAAATTAGAATGAGACGCGTGAGATCATTATGCAGAACCACGTAAGGGATAACCAAAAATTTTATCAAAACACAAACAATTAAGAATAGAGAAGCTAGAACGGTTGAACCTGTGGACATTCAATATGGGTATCATCATGAGAAAATTTTTGATGGATTTCTTTGTGTGTGGTTTGTATGACCATGCAGATGGAGTACATGATCATATTAAGTATTCAAATAATGAATGATTATTATGAATGAATACAATACGATTTCCTTTCTGATTCTTTAAAATCATTAACTATACAAAGAAAACCTTACTTTAAGCAATACAGATTGATATTTTGATACTTTTTTTTTTGCTCATGTTTGCTCCGTATAACGTCTTTTATGGAAGGTGCTCAACTTTTAAATTCTACATGCATTATCTTCGGGTAGTCCTAAAAATCGAATATCATATAAAAGGGCGTTGAATACCTTATTATTTACCGTTGTATATCATTGATGCAAAGTTATCACACAATAAAAATTATCGAATAAAGAGAACTCACGTGATATCCATTCAAATAAGAATTCAGTGGAAATTTCAAATTAATACAAGCCGTTATAACTCAGCATTATTACGCTCATTTTCCTATCGTAAGTATTCTGAAATATTTTATTTCACATCAACGTTAATGGTCAAAATTACAAATCAACGGGGTAACGATTTCCATGAAATTTTCCCTATTTAATTTATGGTGTTTCTTTTTTAATAATTTAAAATTAATAAACATTGTTTTTTAAAATCTAATTCTCCCTCCCTCAAAAATCAAAATTTTCTTCACAAATTTTTCCTTCAATTTATGAATAATCCAAACATCACTTAACATTATATGATTATTTTCCTTCTTTACATTTCTCCGTGTGAAAATTGAGTTGTCATTACTACAAATTTGAAATTACTGCAAGGGTAAAATCCGTTGTTGTAGATGTGCCTCCCATATCAGGCGTCTTGGCCTAAAAATTAATTGATCATTAGATCAAAAATTGTCAAAGTGCAAAGAATATAATTTTATGAAAAGAGATTATGTACCGATCCTCTTTGAATGGTTTGGTAGACAGCATTATTAATTCTATTGGCATGATCACCAAGTGACAAATGTCGAAGCATCATAACTCCAGAAAGAAGCAATGCAGTTGGATTAGCGGTATTATGACCCTGTATATCTTTACCGACATGACGGCATCCCTAGAAATTTTTGATTCTATTATAAGATAATTTATTCACAAATAAGCAAAACCAAATATAAATTGTGAATTGTCTTACGGGTTCAAATAAGGCAAATTCTCTACCGATATTTGCACCAGGTATGATACCAGCACCACCAACCAATGCTGCTCCTACATTGCTAACAATATTACCATACAAATTAGGCATCACCATTACATCGAATTGTTGAGGTTTAGATACCAACTGCATGGAACAATTGTCAACAATCATATCGTTAAATTCAATTCCCGATGATTTATAATCTTCGGCAATTTCACGACAAGTGTTAAGGAAAAGTCCATCTCCAAGTTTCCTATGGAATTTCAATTTGAAAATATACATTAATAAAAAAAAAAATTTTTTTTAAACGAAACATTTCTTTTTTTTTTTAAAAAAAAAAAATTATAATACATAATATTAGCCTTATGGACACATGTGACTTTTTTACGGCCATTTTTAAGGGCAAAGTCAAAAGCAAAACGCGCAATACGTTCCGTCTTTGATTTAGTTACAATCTTGAGAGATTCTACAACTCCTGGAAATGACTATTCGTTAGCATAAAATAAAGATTAAATAATTAAATAGATATCTAAAAAGAAAATCAAATAAAATAAAAAATTTTGATTCGATTTACATGACAACATGTTATTTCACACCTGATGTTCCAACCCAGAATATTCGCCCTCTGTGTTCTCACGAATGATTGCAAAATCCACATTATCATGACGTGTAGGATAACCTTTAATATTCTTGACAATAACTAAAGATGCATAAATATCTAAATCTTTACGCAAAGTAACATTAAATGACTGATGACCCAATTTTGATATGGGTGTATACAGGATACCTATAATTACCAGTTAAATTTTAATTAAATAATATTAACACGTTATCAATTTGAATGATTAAATACGCATACCCTTCAACGCGACTTTATTCCTTCTTAGACTATCCACACTTTGCTTAAATAGAAGATCCCCTTCCTGGGTGTAGCCTGTGACATCCAATTGTTCCCATTCAATCGGAACATTGGCTGCCTTGAAGATTGTCTTTACAGCTGCTGCAGTTTCCTGACCAATTCCATCTCCAGGAATTAGTGTTACAGTGTATTTTCCTCCATATTTGGAGGTATTTAGCTTAATTAATTAGTATAGATTAGATTAGAACTTTCAAAATTAAAGTTTTAAAGTTGAAGCTTTGATAATTTTAAACAGTAAAATAAATCTATCTCAAATTCAACAAAAATCCCTATATTTTCTTACTACATACTCCGAGACCGAATATCTAGCAAGGGTAGATAAAGCCCAACCCGGGCGAAATAAATAACACTTACTAGGGAGGAATCACATGGAGTTACGACCGAACTAATTGCGCGAGGAAAATTCTTTGAGGTAAAAATTCATTGATTTCAAAATTCAAGTACCATTAATATATCCCCTTTTTTTGACACTCGCAACAAACTAATAGAAAACTAAAGTTTTACTTTTTTTGCGGCAGCAAGGATTGGTGTCGTTGTTCTAGCAAACGTCTTGAGCATGCTGAAACGTTTTATAAGTACACGACTAACGGATTAACGGTAAATTATTTCGTAGATAGAGGAGAAATGGTAGATTATAACTTAATCTTGATCGATCAAAAAGCTTATCATCAGTTATATGCGCGGAATATGCCTATCAAGAAATTTTATCTGATAATCTTGCATGTTACACCAACCCAAGGCAGTTAAATTTTTCTTGACTGCGCCAAGATACACTTATTAATACCTAAATAAAACTGCATTTAATAAATATAATAAATACCAAAAGTTCCATGAAATACTTTATTTTTAAAAAGGCAAAAAAAAAAAAAAAAATTTACTAGCATTTATTTATGGATTGATGTGAAATGAAAATCAATAAACAAAACATACAATGTGCATTTGGATTCTTCAAATAGAATCTTTTCATTTGTGACATTTTAATTTGTACAAAAATTTTAAAATATTTTTACAAGCTACTGGTACTTTTGTGCGTTATTTTTTTTGTTCATTCAACATTTGTTCCTTTTTGCTCGCAATAAAATTCTTAAAAAAAAAAAAAAAAAGATCCCCAATTCGATTTCATTTCCAATTTTGTAATATGCCGATCTGTTTTTTTCTTTTCTTTAAGTTTTTGATCATCCTATAAATTATTAAAGAAGAAATGTACCACCATTATGTGCAAATAATCATAACTGTGTTTAGTTTTGTCAAACGTCCAGTTTTTGGGCAGACAAGTTTCTTTTCAATGATTCAAATAATAATTAAAAAAAAAAGGTATTAGCTGTATTAGCTTATGATAAATGTCGATTTTAACCAAATTTAGACCTATTCAAAATTTAGTTTCACGAGACAGTTTAATTAAAACTTCCATAATTAGCCAACATCTTTTTTTGAGAGGGTTTTTATTCAAAAAGTGAACAAAAAATTTTTATTGATCTTCGGAAATTAATTAGCATGTAAAATGAACAGTTTAAAGATTGATGTCAAGGAGAGCTTTTTGTTTTTGGCAGAAAGGGAATAAATAGAAGGATTTCTAGTCAATAAAAAGATAACATTTATATTTAAATGAATTCAAGTGTATAACAATAGTGATACATGCTAGGACCGAGAATCTCGAGAATCTCTGAAAGCGACATTATAAATCGTCAAGTGATCGCAAGATCACCTGCTCAAGAAAAAAGGACTTGAAATCACATTACATCTTGCCCTGCACATTGGTAACAAATAAACGCGAAACAAAAAAGGGTAATTGTAAGCAATTGAAGAAATGCACATGACTTAATTTCTTTGTATACGTATATTTTAATATCAAACAAAACACAAAATTTATTTCCCTATATTTTCGCTCGTGTATTGTTAATTATATTTTACTCTAATTTTTTCTTTCCTACCAAAAATATTTATCTATTTTTATCGAATACCAATTATTTTTTTTTCTTTATTCTTTCGTTAATATTTCATCCTTCAAAAATAATTCAAGGGATATTTAATTCTTTCTGTGTAATTTGTGATTATTCATATACCCTTACTTCCATTGCCTCTACCTTAATACCAATAATATATAAGTTTATCTTTGGTATTACTGCCATTTTTTTTTTTTTTTAAGAGGCAGTTTTCTTTCAACTATAAAAGGAAAATACAATAAAAGAAGTTTCAGAACAAAAAAAAAAAATTTTTTTCTTTCTTTTTTTTTAAAAAAAGTTTTGCTATCGTATGTAGTTTTTTTAAATGGAAAACTGCATTATAATGTCTGCACAACAACAACCTCAACAACTACAACCTGGTTCAGATGTAAATGTTGGAGCAGAATCTTTATCACAGGTTATAACTGAACGTAATCAATTACGATCTCAAAACGATCAATTGTGGAAGTTAATAGAGAAACAAAAATCAGTAATAGATAATTTACAGAAGGAAAACCAAAAACTTGCTAATGAAAGAGAGAGGCTTATTATAAAACTTAGGGACAATGATAGCATAAACACAAGTCGTTCCGAGGATGATAAGGCGTCGATTGAGAAGGGAGTGAATGAAAATAAAAAACCTGTGGAATCTGATAATTCAAGTAATTCAAATAATGATATTATAGTTACGGCTGCGCCGAGTACAGATAAATCACTTACTCAATCTGTTCGTCAATTACCAACTGTAAGCGTGAATTCTAGTCAATCAAAACAATCATCATCACGACAATTATCGTTATTAGATAAAGCAACATCTTTAGAAACAAAATCACTACATCAGCAAGATTCGTCCATTTCAACATCATCTGATATATCCATTAATTCAGAGACATCTGTATCAGCTTATGGTGAATCAAATATAAAAGTTGCTGATGAAGCAAAATCAAGTGATCAACAAAACAAAGAAATACATCAACTGCAGAAAGATACTACTAATTCAGTAAAAAATGAGAATGGTATCATCACCCATTTTAATGAATCGTTTCCTTCCATCACAGTTGATTCGAATGATACATCATCTAATCTTGTCAAAATTCCTTGTCCTTTACCACCAGTTCTTCCTCCAAAATCTATTCAACGACAAAATTCTTTACAAATTGATGATAGTCCAAAAGCTTCTTTAAACCTAACGGAAGTTCAAGATTATCAAGACTCTCCACGAAACTCTCAGGAACAACCAGCACCACTTCCTCTTTACAATATTGACCAAAATTCCGAATCATCCGTCTTACAGAACCTTCCATCACCCACCATTTCAATAAAATCTTCAGGGTCTGAAAGCGTTGGCAGTAGTGGTGATACCAGTAGGTATACTCATAATAGTACAGCACAAACCGTTGACACAGATTTGGAGAATTTGGATGAAAATGATGCTCTTGATCAGTTCCCTCAACCAACACCTAGAGAACAGGCAAAATTTCAGGAAAATCATAATGTAAATAGGTTAGATTCCGAAGAGAATATTAGCTCATTAACAGAAAATGAGCATAAAGTTTCTGAATCCCTTGGTTTGTCAAGCTCATTAACGGAAAATGACCATAAAGTTCCTGAATCCCTTGGTTTGTCAAGCTCATTAACGGAAAATGACCATAAAGTTCCTGAATCCCTTGGTTTGTCAAGCTCATTAACGGAAAATGATCATAAAGTTCCTGAATCTCTTGTTTTGTCAAGCTCATTAACGGAAAATGATCATAAAGTTCCTGAATCCCTTGGTTTGTCAAGCTCATTAACGGAAAATGTCCATAAAGTTCCTGAACCCCTTGGTTTGCCAAGCTCATTAACGGAAAATGAGCATAAAGTTCCTGAACCCCTTGGTCTGTCAAGCTCATTAACGGAAAATGAGCATAAAGTTCCTGAACCCCTTGGTCTGTCAAGCTCATTAACGGAAAATGAGCAT